TCTTAGTATATGAATGGGTTTTTTTGTTATGTGAGGTATATATTCTTATGACTGTTACTAGTTAGCATGGATTTGAACGTTGACTTGTGGTTGACGGTCTAAATTCCCTACCTTTGCTGGATAAAAGTTCTATACGACAGTTGCAACTAAAAAGTTTGGTTTTTTAAAAGCATTTCTAAGGTTAGTTAAGAATACACATCTTTTGTTATAAAGATCTATATAGGGGAATCAGGACCTCCTATCTCCTGCCGGTGACCCTCTAGTGAATCAGGACCTCCTTCCTCCTGCTGGTGACCCCTCTAGCGATATAAAGATCTATATAGAAGAATCAGGACCTCCTTCCTCCTGCTGGTGACCCTCTAGCGATATAAAGATATAGATAGGGGAATCAGGACCTCTTTCCTCCTGCTGGTGATCCCTCTAGTGATATAAAGATATAGATAGAGGAATCAGGACCTTCTTACTCCTGCTTGTGACCCCCTCTAGTGATATAAAGATCTATATAGAGGAATCAAGACTTCCTTCCTCCTGCCGGTGACCCCTCTAGTGATCTAAAGATCTATATAGAGGAATCAGGACCTCCTTCCTCCTGCTGGTGACCCCTCTAGTGATCTAAAGATCTATATAGAGGAATCAGGACCTCCTTCCTCCTGCTGGTGACCCCCCTAGTGATATAAAGATCTATATAGAGGAATCAAGACTTCCTTCCTCCTGCCGGTGACCCCTCTAGTGATGTAAAGATCTATATAGAGGAATCAGGACCTCCTTCCTCCTGCTGGTGACCCGTCTAGTGATATAAAGATCTATACAGAGGAATTGGGACCTTCAGGGATATCATCAGCAAACAGATACAGCTGACCCACCAATCCTCTAGTTATATTACCTATATACTGTATAGATTAAATAGAACAGCACCTAGTACAGAGCCTTGTTCTACACCGGTAGTGAGTGGTCTCTGTTCTGAATGAACCCTGTTTACAACCACACTCTGGTATCTATCCTTTAGCCAGTTGTGTGTAGCACTACAGTGCATCCAGAAAGTATTCCCAGCGCTTAACTTTTTCCACATTTTGTTATGTTACAGACTGATTCCAAAATGGATTAAATTCATTTTTTTCCTTCAACATTCTACAAACAATACCCCATAATGACAATATGAAAGAAGTTTTGAAATCTTTACAATTTATTAAAAGTAAAAAACTAAAAAAAAACCCATGTACATAAGTATTTGGAGAGTTCTCCAGTCTCTCTGGTATACCACCCCAGATAAATCATTCTCTTATCTGGCTGCCTGAGGGAATCCCTGGGCAAGGGGGTCCAGTGCCTACCACAGTAAGTTGAACAGTCCCGGTAATGAGCAAATGAGGTTTCCCACTAGAGTGCTGTCTTCCCCTTGAGGTGTAGGATTACTCACTCAGTCACTCTCCTGTGAGCTGGTGTAGGTAGTTAGCTGACTTCAGGTCTTCTGCTGGCCGACTCCTTTCCTGGCTGTACAGGTGGTGCTCGCTTTGGGGGCCAGTGAGGATGAGAGATCCTCCTTTCCATCTTCCTGCCTGTAGGTAGGCCCCTTCAATGTGGGCTTCCTCACATCTTCCACCCGAACTCTGCTGCTGCTGAGTAGGCTCAGTCACACTTAAGGGCTGGACCCATGCCAAGCCTCCTGCTTGGGGACTGTCCAGAGTTCCTTCAGTAGGCAGACCAGCCCTCCTCATTCCCGCTCACTGCTTCTAGAATCTTCTCCAAAATTCAAGAGCAGGGGGAGGCATCAAGGAAGTGATCTGCAGAGCCTCTCAGCCCTGACCTACATTTGACCCAGCTGACTATCACCCAGGCTGCTGCTCAGCTTTTCTAACTAAAAAACCTAAATAGCTCCCCCTAGCTAACTAGGAGGGTACTACATGTGTATTCACTGAACCACCAATGGATAAGCAAAACTTTTGTATTAGATCATTATGCAGAACTGTATCAAATGCTTAGCTAGGGTAGGCTGTGTCCACAGCATATTGGTAATATAGTAAAAAAAAAAAAAATTAGTTAGATTAGTCTGATATGATCTGCCACCAGTAAAGCCATGCTGCTTTGGGTCCAGCAAGTTGTGTGTTTTTTAAGTGATCATTGATCCTTCTTTTCAGGAGTGATTCCATTAACTTGACTAGTACCGATGTTAAACTCACTGGCCTGTAATTGCCACCTTGTACCTCGCTGCCCTTCTTGTGGATAGGTACAATATTAACTGTCTGCCAGTCTTGGGGAACTTTTCCTCTTAGAAGAGATTGATTAAAAAGATCCATTAATGGTTCAGCAACTAGACCTCAAAGTTCTCTCAGAACTCTGGGATGATCCATCACGGCCCATTGCTTTATTAAGCTCTAACCGAGTCAGTTCCTCTGCTACCTCTGCCTCCGGAAATCCTAAAAATGAACCATCATTATTAGGCTCCATGCACACTGGGCAGTTTAACCACATGCCGCCCAGCCACTGTAGAAATACGGCGGGGGGGCGGCACGGCTGGGCAAAACCACGTTTTAAATTGTGTGTTTTTAAAAACAGGTAGGGGGCGCACCGCAGCCCTATGTGTCCTGCCGATCACAGCTGCAGATGTCAGTCGCCGGGTCACAGCCGGTCGTTACCGGCTATGTCCCGGCGATCAGTGACAGAGAGCACAGCTGCAGTAGCTGTGCTTTCTGTCAGTTCCCTGACAGCTCTGGATACGCTGATCGGGACAGAAGAGTTTCTCTCTCCCGATCAGCGGTGTTCCTTGCAGTACACACCCCGCCCCCTAGTAAAAACACTCCCCTCACACAGATAACCCTTTCCCTGAATAATAAACTTAACCCCTTCCTCCCCAGTGCCATTAGTACAGTCAGTGGTTTTTTTTTTTTTTTTGCACTGATTACTGTATTGGTGTCACTGGGGATGTCAGTGACCCCAAGTCAGTACCCCCCAATGTCAGAATGTCCGCCGCAGTCCCGCCATAAGTCGCTGACCACCGCCATAAAGTCACTGATCACCGTCACTATTAGTATAAAAAAAAACTAAAAATCCCAGTATCTTTCCCGCCATTTGTAAACACTATAACTTTCACGTAAACCAATTAATTTACACGTATTGGGTTTTTTTTTTTTTTTAGCAAAGACATGTCGCAGAATGCATTTTGGCAGAAATTTATGACTAAATTTGATTTTTACATTTTTTTTACTGGACATGTTTTATTACAAAAAAGTCCAAAATATTGTTTTTTTTTCCTCAAAATTGTCAGCCTTTTTTTTTTATAGCGCAAAAAATAAAAAAACGCACAGGCGATCAAATACCACCAAAAGAAAGCTCAATTTGTGGGGAAAAAAAAAAGGATGTAAATTTATTTTATGTACCGTATTGCATGACCGCGCAATTGTCCGTTAAACTAGTGCAGTGCTGTATAGCAAAAAAATGGCGTAAATTGCAGTATCTATACCATAGTTTGTAGATGCTATAACTGTCACACAAAGCAATCAATATACACTTATTGGGATTATTTTACCAAAAACATGGAGCAGAATACATTTTGGCCTAAATTTTATATCTGACTTTGAGTTTACTATATATTTTTTTTAGCTGAAAGTAAAAAATATAGTTTTTCTTCAAAATTGCATTGCATGACCGCGCAATTATCAGTTGAAATAGTGCAGCACCGAGTAGCAAAAAGAGGCGTGGTCATTAAGGGGGGTAAATCCTCAGGAGGGCAAGTGGTCAATAACGCTGGCAGCGTCAGCTGTGTAAAAAAACATTGTTTTTCAGCGGTTTTTGTTAGTGTTTTTGCATTAGCGTTTAGCTGCATTTTTCCACGTTTAGCAAGTTTTACCATGTTTTTTTTACACAGAAAAAAAATAATATTTTTTGCTAAAAAAAAAAAAAAAAGGTCCAAAAACGCAGCTTTGCCACGTTAGAGTGTTTTTACAGCTAAATAAAATCCTCTGGAAACCCACTAATTCTGAGGAGTGTTTCAGCCAAAAAATGCTGATTAAAACCTATGTGTGTGCATAGATACATAGGATAACATGCTGGGGAGTTCACCGGCTGTAGATAAAAAACTCCAAAAGCCACAAACAGCCGCTATAAAAACATCCCGTGTTCATGAGGACTAAGAACTAATATGATTTCTGACTGGGAAGACTGAACAGAAGTAATTGTTTAAATTGTTTGCTACATCCAGGCCTCACTGAACAAAAGTGTTGTGCCCAGTTCTCATTTTAGTGATCCCATTGTAAATTTTTCCTTCTATCGCTGAAGTACCTAAAAAAGGTTTTATCTCCTTTCTTAATAGGTTCGGCCAATTCCTCCTCTTTCTGTACCTTGGCAGCTCTGATAATGTGTTTGGCTTTCTTTTGGCTATTTTTATACACTTCTCTATCAGCTACATCTCCTGTTTCTCCTATAGCCTGATTTTTTTTCTCTCTTTCTATCCTACATACCTCTTTAGTGAACCATTTAAGATGTTTAAGTGAAGATTAAGAACCTAAAAAATTGTTCCTTATACCTACACGTCTCATGGAACCCACAGGTCACATTCTTCATTGACCACTACGTGGCCAACAAGTGCACAGCGCTGCAAGAGACGACTAGTTATTTGATGGCTGCATGGAGACAACTGATAGATCGAAGTGTTGCCATGCACATGAATAGAGGATGGAGTTTGTTGTCCAATGCTTGCCAGTACTAGCTGAAGCCTTGAGAAAGAAGGGGAGCACACTATTGCAATGTTGGGTGATTACGGATGAGTACCACTTATCCTATACAGTTGCCCAGTACTTTGCAACACTCAACTCCATCAGTTGTCTCCATGAAGCTATCAAACAACCAGCCATCTCCTGCAGCTCTGTGCAGTTTTTTTTTTTTTTTTTTTTTCAAAATGTCTACCAATTCCCTAGACATTTTTTAAGAACTCACAGCCACCTCCTTTTTATATTTCAGCAAAGGTTCAACAGGAAATTGATGAGGTCACACAGTCATTGCGTCTACCTGGAATTGAAGACAGACCTCAACTGCCGTACACCAATGCCGTCATCCATGAAATACAGAGAGTTCTAGATTTGGCACCAACTGCTCTCTTCCATGCCGTGACCAATGATATCAAGTTCCGTGGATACATCATCCCGAAGGTATACGACTGTGATATACGTCAGCCCATGTTTATGCAAGAGTGTGCAGATAATAAGGAAAATCGTGATGTAACACAGCAAAAATAGAAAAAGCAAATAAAATCAATAAAATCTGTATGGAGGAGGAAAGTTGTAGGGTATGGGAGTAGGCATATAGGAGTAGGCAAATGATGTATTTCTGCCTGCCAGAAAAATGACCACTTACTTGTACTGCACTTGGCCAATTATTATATCATGCAGCCGGTTCATTCTGAGTTTTTCTTTTAATATTTTTATGTTAGCAGAATGTATTCTACTGTTGTGTAGAAAAGCTTATGAAAAACAATCTTCTTCCTGTTCGGGCACCTAATACTCCTCCTCGTTACTAACTCTTCCTCATTATTCCAACATTTACTGCTAGATAAATAAGTTACATTTTCACACAGACATTCACATGATTTAATTGGCATTGAGCTTGTACAATGTATAATGTGATTGTTCTCATGTATAATAGTGACTCTCTCCTTTACCAGGGCGCCATCATCATCCCATTCCTGACATCGGTGCTTAATGACCCCTCTCAATGGGAAACACCAGAACGGTTCAATCCTGGACACTTCCTGGATGAGGAGGGCCAGTTCCGCAATCGGGTGGCCTTCATGCCATTCTCAGCCGGTAAGAAATCCATTATTATTATTATTATTATTATACAGTATTTATAAAGCGCCAATAGTTCGCTCAGCGCTGTACATTACAAAGGGAGACAGAACATGTGACAGAACAATACCAATACAATGCAAAACATGAGGGGATCGAGGGCCCTGCTCTTTCGAGCTTACAATCTAGGAGATAACATTATTCTGTCAGTGCCAGGCTGGGGTAAAAGTTAAACAATTTCTTCCCTGAAATACAAACAATTTCTTCCCTGAAATACATAGAAATATATCACACAAGTGTCTGAAGATCTGACTTCTTGTCAGGGGCAGACTGACTATTTGGAAACTCGGGCACTGCCCGAGGTCAGTATGGGGCCCCATGAGATGCCCCTGGCCCCTTTTTCATAGGCTTTTTTGCATTTGAGCAAGAACACAGGGGCCCCATGATCCCCTATTGCCCAGGGGCCCCATGAGTTGTCAGTCCGCCCCTGCTTCTTGTAGAGTTTTTAAAGCAGAGCTCGACAAATCCCAGGCGCCAGTTCACCATGGCTACTAGAAATTGCCTTCTGGTACCTGGCTTCACATGCCTCCCATAGACTTCAAAGGGGAAGTCGCGCCCCATAGACCTCAGTGGGAAGTCGCGCCCCATAGGCTTTCGTGGAAAGTCGCGCCCCATAGGCTTTCGTGGAAAGTCACGCCCCCATAGGCTTCCGTGGAAAGTCACGCCCCATAGGCTTCCGTGGAAAGTCACGCCCCATAGGCTTCCGTGGAAAGTCACGCCCCATAGGCTTCCGTGGAAAGTCACGCCCCATAGGCTTCCGTGGAAAGTTACGCCCCATAGGCTTCCGTGGAAAGTCACGCCCCATAGGCTTCCGTGGAAAGTCACGCCCCATAGGCTTCCGTGGAAAGTCACGCCCCATAGGCTTCCGTGGAAAGTCACGCCCCATAGGCTTCCGTGGAAAGTCACGTCACGCCCCATAGGCTTCTGTGGAAAGTCACGCCCCATAGGCTTCCGCGAAAAGTCGCGCCTCCTAGGCTTCTGCGGGAAGTCGAGCCCCATAGGCTTCTGCAGAGAGTCGCGCCCCATAGGCTTCAGCTGGAAGTCGTGCCCCATAGGCTTCTGCAGAGAGTCGCGCCCCATAGGCTTCAGCGGGCAGTCGCACCCCATAGGCTTCAGCTGGGAAAGTCGCGCCCCATAGGCTTCAGCTGGAAGTCGAGCCCCATAGGCTTCTGCAGAGAGTCGCGCCCCATAGGCTTCAGCTGGAAGTCGTGCCCCATAGGCTTCTGCAGAGAGTCGCGCCCCATAGGCTTCAGCGGGCAGTCGCACCCCATAGGCTTCAGCTGGAAGTCGCGCCCCATAGGCTTCAGCTGGAAGTCGCGCCCCATAGGCTTCAGCTGGAAGTCGCGCCCCATAGGCTTCAGCTGGAAGTCGCACCCCATAGGCTTCAGCTGGAAGTCGCGCCCCATAGGCTTCAGCTGGAAGTCGCGCCCCATAGGCTTCAGCTGGAAGTCGCGCCCCATAGGCTTCAGCTGGAAGTCGCGCCCCCATAGGCTTCAGCTGGAAGTCGCGCCCCATAGGCTTCAGCTGGAAGTCGCGCCCCATAGGCTTCAGCTGGAAGTCGCGCCCCATAGGCTTCAGCTGGAAGTCACTCCCCATAGACTTCAGCGCAAAAACTCCTGTCAATAGCATTCCTATATGAACACTTATCTCCGCATGCCGCTGTACTCTATCACTTGCGAGTCTGGACTGCACCACTAAAAACTCGCACAGGACCCTGTTAATGATGGCACTCAAAATACAATGCGTGTGGCTCGTATCTTTGTGAACTACCTCAATAGGAACACAAAAATCTAGCCTGACATGCGAACCTGTGAGTTTCAGAACCGGTCCAGAATCGCGTACAATATGTGTGAACTAGGGAGGCTCTACTCACACCTGGAAGTTTTGGGATCGCAGCAAAATTGTTGTGATCGCAAAATGTAGGTTCAGGTGCCATTATTTTCAATAGGGCCTACAACGTGGTGCAGTTTTGCTGTGATTGTCATGAGGCAAATTGCATTGTGTGAAGTCGCAGGCGCTGACAACCCATGTTACGCTAAAAAAAACCTGACTCCTAACTTTTTTAGCTAGCTTCTAGATTCTAAGCAAATGTTGTCAAGCCCTGTTTTTAAAGAGACCTTGATGCCTTGCCCACTTAGGGAAAAGAGACTCCCTCAACCACCTTATACTTCCCCCTTACCACCTTCACAGTGCTCCATTGCCAGTCCTTCCACTGTCATTCATCCTGCAGAATATCCATTGTTGGAGCTTACATGGGATGCTGATGTCATCCCTCAACCATGTGACAGTGTTCTGGCCTAGTCATTAGTCACTAGTCCCAAGGACTGCATCACAGGTGTGGATCATGTCTTCTTCATACTTGGAAGCACTGGGTATTTTGTGGTGACCAACAGAAGGAGTGACGGGAGGATTGTGAAGATGGATATCAGATTGTTGGGATATGGGCTTTAAACAGACCTATTACATTGTCCTGAACAGACAAGGAGCCAGACAAGGAATAAACACTTCAGTCAAGACTGAAAAAAAAAGGCACTAAAATTCAGTCATAGAGCCCAACCCAGGTCTTCTATTTCTCATCCAGGAAATGATGTCATCCTGTTGCCTATAATTTTTCTTAGACATTTGGTGCTAATAGGAGATTCTATAATCCAAAAGACTCATAGAATAATTTATTGCCAGGATCACCTCAGCTGAATGGTTTGCTGTCTCTCTGGTGCCAGGGTTCGGCATGTGTTGGACCAGGTTGATGAATTACTGGGAGGGGCTGGGCATGACCCAGCTGTCTTGGTCCGTGTTGGAACCAATGACCAAATACATGGAAGGTGGAGGCTTAAGAGTCAATTTAAAAAAAAAAAAAAAAGGCTGCAAGTTGAAGGGAAGGACCTCCAAGGTGATATTCTATGAAATATTACCCGTGCCATGCGCAAGACAGGAAAGACGGGGAGATTAGAGAACTAAATGCATGGCTAAAGACCTGGTGAAAGAGGGAACGATTTGGGTGTCTAGAGCACTGGGCTGAATTGTCATTGGGGTACAACCTATCTGCTAAAGGTGGTTTGCACCTAAATGGAGGGGGGTCTGCTGTGCTAGGGGAGAGGTTGGTTTATGAGAAGGCTGGAGGAGTATTTAAACTAGGATTGAGGGGGGAGGGAGAATTAGATTACAATGGGGCAGACAGGTCTGACAGGGGTCAGTCCCTATTGGTGGGTGGAATGGGTAAAGATAGGAGGAGGGCTATGGCAGGTGATAAAGAGGTTCCCATGTTACAAACAACCATTGGAAATGGTACTATTTGTACTAAAATAAAAAATATGCAAAATGCGTGTGCAAAATGTGACAATGAATTCAAGTGTATGTTCACCAATACCAGAAGTCTGCCAAGTAAAATAGGTGAGTTGGAAGTGTTGGTGCACAAAAAGAACTATGAATGAATTGGTATTGCTGAATCTTGGTTTCATTCTTCACATGACTGGGCCATTAATATTCCTGGCTATGTTCTCTTTCGGAGAGACAGGGTAAATAGGAAAGATGGTGGTGTCTGTCTCTATGTGAGAAGTGATCTCAGACCGAGTGTGAAAGAGGACCTAGGTTGATGGAAAGTGTGATGAGGCTGAAGCATTATGGGTGGAACTGCACATGGGGGTGCGTACTACAAAGGTAATCAGAGTTTTTTATAGGTGGAGACTCAGCTCCTTGCCTAGATAGAAAGGGCTGTGGACAGTGATAATAATGGGGGATTTTAACTACACAGAAATGAACTGGAGTAATGGCACTGCAGGAACAGTTAAAGGGCAAAAATGTTTTAAACTTATTACAAGACAATTTTATGGTACAATTCATAAAGTCCCAACTAGGAATGATGCTCTGCTGGACCTGGTAATCTGAAACCATACAGAGCTTATTACTAATGTTCATATAAAAGAAAATCTGGGTAGCAGTGACCATAACATGATTTAATTTAATGTTAGTTGTAAACAACAAGCACATACTGGAAAGATAAAAACACTCAACTTAAGTAGAGCAAATTTTCCAAGGATGAGGCTGTTCTCTAGGACTTAGACTTGGAGGGAATATTGGCATCCATGAACACAGGACTAAAAATGAGAATTCTTCAAAAAGACTATATGTGAACACACTGAAAAATACACTATATTGCCAAAAGTATTGGGCCGCTTGCCTTTCCACACACATAAACTTTAATGTCCCCCCAGTCTTAGTCCGTAGGGTTCAATATTAAGTTGGCCCAACCCTTTGCAGCTATAACAGCTTCAACTCTTCTGGGAAGGCTGTCCACAAGGTTTAGGAGGGTGTCTATGGGAAGGTTGGACCATTCTTCCAGAAGCACATTTGTCAGGTCAGGCACTGATGTCAGGCGAGAAGGCCTGGCTTGCAGTCTCCGCTCTAATTCATCCCAAAGGTGTTCTATGGGGTTGAGGTCAGGACTCTGTGCAGGCCAGTCAAGTTCCTCCACCCCAAACTCACTCATCCATGTCTTTATGGACCTTACTTTGTGCACTGGTGCGCAGTCATTTTGGAACAGGAAGGGGCCATCCCCAAACTCTTCCCACAAAATTGGGAGCAATTATCTAAAATGTCTTGGTATGCTGACGCCTTAAGAGTTCCCTTCACTGGAACTAAGAGGCCAACCCTTAAAAAACAGCTCCACACCATAACCTCCACTCCACCAAACTTTACACTTGACACAATGCTGTTAGGCAACTACTGTTCTCTTGTCAACCACCAAACCCAGACATGTCCATCAGTTTTCCAGACAGAGAAGCATGATTGGTCACTCCAGAGAACACGTCTCCACTGCTCTAGAGTGCAGTGGCGGTGTGCTTTACACCACTGCATCTGATGCTTTGCATTGCACTTAGATGCAGCTGCTTGGCCATGGAAACCCATTCCATGAAGCTCTCTATGCACTGTTGCGCTAATCTGAAAGGCCACATGAAGTTTGGAGGTCTTTAGCTATTGACTCTGCAGACAGTTGGCGACTTCTGCG